GCATGAGTTGCAAATATTTCCCCCAGTTCGCCATTTTCTTTTTTATTTTGCTCATGGTGGTTTTTGCCATGTAGGAATTTTTTTTTTTTTTTTTTCCTTGACCGGCAACGGATCGCAACCCTCAGTGTCGTGCCCGTACCGGACCAGGACCAGCAACCGGATCGCAACCCTCAGTGTTGCGTCAGCACCTCGCTCAGCCAGTGAGCTGCCGGTCTGTATGTGGGATCCGAACCCTCGGAGGGAGTGCCGCTCTGTAGCAGTGCGCCACCGGGCTGGCCTGCCATGTAGGAATTCTTTATGTTAGGTGAATTTATCCATCTTTCATAGCTTTGGGATTTTCTGTCGTATTGTACAGGCATTCCTGCCTCTGGGATTAAGAAAAAATTTCCATGGTTTCTCTTAAAACTTTTACGGTTTTATTTTTCACATTTACGTTTCTAATCCATCCTGAACTTATTCTGATATAAAGTATGAGGATTAAGTTCAACTACATTTTATACCTGATGGTACTGATTCAAGTGGTACCCGGTACTTTTATTCACTCTTGTACAATGTGAGCAATTTTCGAAAAATGATCTTTTCACAAATCATCCAGCTATGTAATGACATTTATTTTTGCTCCATCATATTAAAAGGGCAAAACATATATAGATCTTTCTATATATATTTTAAAATAACAACCAGTCTATGGGAGAAGGAAGCAAATAACTGTTGTGTCTCTGTTTAAGGGGAGTGAATAGAATAATGCAATATATGTAAAGAAATTCTCGTTTTTGAAATATTATTACATAAGTTTTTGAATTATTAAAAAATTGAATTATCACAAAAATATGGTAACAAAACTATAGCTAGCAGAATTGCTGTTAACTTATGTAGTTTGTAGTTATGTATATAGATTATATATACTATACTTTATATATATACCAACATATTTTTTGATATCACTTGAAATGTTTGAATAAAGAAAATTCTAAAATATAATGACAAACTTACGGAAAGCCATGAGCACAAATGGCAGACATCAGATGATTTCTGTGAAAATATGACATCTACCCAATTGTTGTACCCAACCTAAAACACAGAAAATTATCTAAAAGTTCCTGGAATATAGTTAAGATACAAATAAGACAAATAAACATTAAAATTTTGAAATACTGATGAGAACAAGATACAACGTACAGTATAAAGCTTGTTATTGTGAACAATTTACAAATCATAAATATCTGCTAAGTAAAGGAATAAACAGTCTTTTCCTTATGCGACTTCTATAAATTTACCACACAAATCTTCAAAAGTCAATTTTAAAAATATACAGGTCAATTTTAGCTAATGAGGTAGCAAAATAAGGAAGAAAACTTAATAGCTCACATATTACATTTGCTTAAATTTAATATGTAGAAATCAATGACAGTCATTACTAAAAGACAGTAATCTCATCCTTATTAACATTATTATACACGGCAGCACCGAACGTATGCGAAGTTAATCATCTTAGAAAGTCACTAAATTTAATCCTGGAAATTCTTACGTCTCATAAGAATAGCCTGTTTGCAATTCTGGACATTCCAGATTATATGTTTTAACTGACTAGTAAACAATAAATCGACTATCATTTGAGTGTTATTTTCCAGGCACTATAACAGCATTTTGCATGTTATTACTTAACTTAATCCTCATAACCACAGGAAACAGGCAATATCATTTCACCAATTTAGACAAGAAAATGAAAATTAGAGATTTAGAAACTTGTCTAAGTCACATAATTAATTGCTAAGTAGAATCACTGGTCTTTTTCAGAGCTTATGTCCTTAATGCGGTTATGGTTCAACACAAATGTAGCTTAAAAAAAAAACGAGAGAGAGAGAGACAGATAATTTCAGGAATTTAACATCACTCAACTAAATACAAACTCTATTCAATTTAAAGGGAAACAATATTTATTTTTAAAACCAAAATTATTCCCTTGAGAGACTAGTATTCAGTAATCTCATTTCAATTGTGCTTTCATTAAATTCAAATGTGTTTAACCTTGAATGTGTAAAAGGCGGTATCTCCATTAAGCTATAGAAGAATTAACTCAGAATGAAAATAAGCACCTAAAATCTTTCCTGGTATACAAAAATACATGTACCATACAGGTAAAGGCAGGGAAAATCTGAGGATCAGCAAGGACATTTATTTCAGATGAAGTAAAAAAATAAATAAATAAATAAGTAACTTCTTTAGGATATAATTACAATAAATCTATTTTCCAAAATATACTTTATGATGTTGAGGACAGCTACAGTGGGTAAATTTTCAAAAACTCGACTGAACATTATGAAAACTAATGAAGCCATAACCATCTTAGGTCCATGTTAGATTCCTGATAAAAGAGAACATATGAAAGCACATATAAATATTTGTTTGTGGAAATATATTAGTCTTATAAATACTGCTTCAGTTTATCCAAAAGTACAACCAGTACAAATCTTTTTTTTTACTTTCCGTCTTTCAGATCCATCGAATGCAACACTCCTGGCTTCTTTCACTGTCTCACAGACAAGGCCATTTCCACAGACAAATTCAATCACTTACTTCATCTGAGGAAACTGAGTCTTTATGACATCAATTTCCATTTTAAAGCTTTTAATCTCCCTTAATCTTTCATTGATTGGCTTGACCTAAAATGTTTAAAAAATGCTTCATATATTAGATACACTAAAATATAAACCAAATGCTCATTACATTCTTTCTCACCAAACACATACAGGCGTGACAGGAAATGATGAATAGTGTGCACTTACAGATAATAAAAGTTTGACCAGAACATCATAAACTATATCACACTAATGGCTCATGTAATATTAAAAATAAACTTCATCAAAACCCAGAAGATTTAATTTCCAGATTCAACCCTGTCACTAATTATTTGGGAGAAAACAATGCATGAGAAGTGCTCCATGCTCTCAAGACCATGAAATGTAGTGGAAAATACTATCCTTTAAAATATGTCTCAAAAGAGCTGTACGAAATTATGGCACTTAAAAAACACTTTAGAAATAAATGATCAGGAAAGGCTTCAGACTTTCTTAGTCATGATTCTTAGGTTGGATCTACAAACAGATCAAAAAAGTGTCTTCAATGTATTAATGAAAACCTACAAGTACAATCACACTTTGGGATAACAAAGCAAAACAAAGCAAAAAAACTACATACAACCAAAACATGTATATGTCTGCCTGTGTTATATATATACACACGCACACACGAGTATATACACCTGCGAATATATATTTATAAAAATTGAAGTGTATGGGAGCAATCTAAAGTAGTTACTATTAAGGAACTGGACACCGAAAAGGGATGAGTATTCCCTTTATATTTGATATACTTCTATATGAGACGTTGTTAAAAAGGAGTTTGCCTTGAAAAACATCTCAAGTGGGGAATAAGTAGAACAGGATTTTAACTGGCAGATGAATTAGGGCTAAGAAGTTTTAGGAGTCAGAAGGTACAAGCAAAAGTGAATTAGTACAATGAGCAGCTGGCATTTGCTGAGCCCCTCCTCTGTGCAGGCACTGTGCCAGGTGGTTTACCTGTAATGATTCCTTGCAATAATCCAATAAGGTAAGAATTAATTCTTCTATTTCATAGATGAAGAAACTGAAGCCCAGAAAAGTTATGAACAACTTAGTGAGAGCAAATTAGAAGTAGGGCTGAGATTCAAACTCAGGGCACTCCAACTCCAAGGCATGTGCTGTTAACCACTATGCACACTGCCTGCAGTTCAGGGTCTTGACTGCCAGATGAAATAAAACATTATCTTTGGTAGGCAATAAAAAATCACAAAGGATATCAATTATGATATGATAGAGTTCCTGCTGCAGGAATTTAGATTCTGGATATGGAAACATATATCAACTCATAACTCAAGGCTCAAAATTTAGCCTGCCCCACCAAGAGTTGACACACTGGACCAAATATTCACAATAGAGACTGAGTTGACATTTCGCCCACAGACCATACATCTTATCAATTTCCTATCTACATGGTCCCTAACTTACAATGGTTCAAGGTATGATTTTTTGACTTTACGATGGTGTGACAATGATATACATTCAGTAGAAACCGTACTTCAAATTCTGAATTTCAGTCTTTCCCTGGCCTAGTGGTGTGTGGTATGATACTCTCTTGTGGCAGCAAACCACAGCTCTCAGCCAGCCACGTGATCAAAAGAGTAAACAACCGATACTCTGCAGTGCACTATGTTGCTCAGCTATGAGGTTCGGTAGGTTAGGTGTATTAAATGCATTTTCAACTGATGATATTCTCAACTTACGATGGGTATACCATGACATAAAGCAATGGTCAAGTTGAGGAGCGTTTGTATTTTGCTACAGAACAAAATATATTACTGGCTAGTATGCCGAGGGGTGTACTGCTAGAGCAATGGCATCAGAGTTACCAATACAGAATTAGGGCAAAACAAGATTAGGAAAATAAATGATGTGATATCAAGAAAGATAGCAGCTACTTGATATTATTCTTTGCCTACTGAGACATCAACACCAGCCATTCAAATGACTGGCTAATTGGCAACGATTTTTTTCAGTCACTACCATAGTTTTAAGCAATAAAGACATACTATAACAGACAAGTTTTTATCACTACTAAATACCAAAGATTACAAATTTCTTACCTCCAGGTAATCCAGAGCAAGGAATGTCTCAGGTTCAGCTCTTTCCTCATTCAGAAACCGAATACATTTTTGTGCTACTTTTTCACAGGCTACAACAATGGCAAACATGTACTGGTCAAGGGCGGTGTAGGGTGGGGGGGAAGGACCCGGCCCGACGGGGGGTGGCGGTTGGGGGTGGTGACTCAGGGTGGAGCCCTCCCGGCCGGGTCAGGGCCTCCCGCAGTCCAGGCCGCATGGCTGCACTCACGTCCCCTCAGTCCCCTCAGGCAAAGAGCTGCGGACTGGGCCGGGCGGAGGAGTTCAGGTCCCGCCCCGAGGTGCCCAGTTACCGGAGCCGTTGGGGCCAATGATGAAGGGGCTGGAGCCGCCCTGGCCAGGTTGGGGCCTCCCGCAGTCCAGTGGGCATGGCCGCCCTCACATCCCCTCAGTCTCCTCAGGCAAAGAGCTGCCGACTGGGCCGGGTGGAGGAGTTCAGGTCCCGCCCCGAGGTGCCCAGTTACCGGAGTCACTGGGGCCAATGATGCAGGTGAACCTCTTGAAGGGGCCGATGATCTGGCGGCCCCGCCACGACTTGAAGTTCTCCACGACCAGCACCTGCAGGACGCCCATGGCAGCAGCATCCTCGCCTCAGCCGCGTCCTCGCGCCTGGTGGGAAAAACGTGGGAAGAGCCTCTCCAAGTCTCGCGAGCCTAGAACGAGACCACAGCATGGACAGCCCCGTTCCTTAGCAACCAGAGTTGTTGAAAGTCCCCTTCTAATGTAATGTTGCTAAAAGTTTTTACCATGAAGTTGTGTTGAATTTCTTTCAGAAGCTTTTTCTACACTCATTGATGTGATCAAATGCAGTTTTTATTTCCCTCTGCTCCATTGTTAATGTAGGAAATAACAATTAAAATATTTTCTTACAGTAAATCACAGTTTTGTTCCTTAGGCACAGCCTGTTAATTCACTGCTGTATTGAATGTGCCGTTAATTTAATAAAGATATTTGTCTCTCCGTGTGAGCTTTGCTCAAGTGTCCTGAATTTTCAAGGTGGTGTCCTCTTCTGGTGCTTGAATGGAAGACAGCTAGCCTGGGAAAATGAGTTGAATAATTGCCGAACTATTTGGATGCTTTAGAAATGTTTACTTAAGGTGGTGATGAGTTTTCCCTGATAACTTTGTAGAACTGACCTGCAAAACTACCTCGTCCAGGAAATTTTGAATATGGCATGAGCTTAGAATGTTTTTGTTTTTTTAAAAAATTTTATTTTGTCAATATATATTGTGGTTGATTATTGTTGCACCTTACCAAAACCTCCCTCCCTCCTCCCTTTCCTCCCTCCCACCCAACAATGTCCTTTCTGTTTGCTTGTTGTATCAACTTCAAGTAATTGTAGCTATTATATCTTCTATCCCCCCCTCACCCGGATGTGTGTGTGTGTGTGTGTGTGTGTGTGTGTGTGTGTGTGTGATTTGCATCGTTCGCTTAAAGGTTTTTCTTCCTTTATAAACCAATTTATTCCTGAACTACTTTTTTTTTTCTAAAACACGATCTATTTTCCTTAGGATTTCAAATTTAATTTCATGTTTGTAAGATAAAAAACTTTTATTACAAAAAGTCTCAAGCACATGTCACATTACGGCAAATAATATAGAGAACCCAATATACCAGAAATTCGGCATCAACAATCTTCAGTGCAGGGCCAGTCTGGTTTCAACTATCCCCTACCTCCTCTGCATCTGAGAAGCTGGAATAACGTGAGGCAAATCCAAGACACCACAGGATTTCATCTCTAAGTACATCAGCCCGTATTTCTAAAGATATCTACTCTTTTATAAAACATAAAGTCAGCGTGGTTTTCAATTCTAGACATTTAAGTTAGTCATTAATATAACCAAGTGTCCAGTTATGTGTCACACGTAATTGCAGCTCATATACTTCCTTTCAGTGGAGTTTCCTTGAACCTATTTGCAAACAGAATCTACACATTGTGATTGTCTCTGTCCCTTAAGTCTTAAAATCTACAGATTTCGCCCACAACACTTCTTTTTTTTGGAGTTTATTTATTGAAAATAAAAGCATGCCTTGTGTTCTGTCCAGTTTCCCATACTCTGGACCGTTCTGAACATAATATTTCTATCCTTGCGTTACCCATCTCTTATTCCCTGTTGTCTATATTGTCCAGTAAAGTCTTTTAACAATTAATTTATTTTATTTTTATTTTACTAAGTTTATTTTTTGGTCACTGTCCACTGGGTATCCGAACCTTTGACCTTGGCTTTAGAACACTGTGCTCTAACTGACTGAGCTAACTGGACAGCCCCATTTTTTAACATTTTAAACATAGTTATTTAAAATTTCCTGTCTGATAATACCAGTATATGTGTCATATTTGAGTCTAGTTCTGTTGCTTTCCTTATCTCTTTAGACAATATATTTTCTTACATTTTGGTGTCATTTGTAATTTTTTTGTTGAGAACCACACGTATTGTGTAGAGTGAGAGAAGCAGAGGTAATTAGATATCTACTATGAAGATTTATGTGAATCTGGATAGAAGTTGGGCTTTATTTATTCTAGCTATAGGTACCAAAGCCTTCAAATTGCTCTAATGTCTTGTTTTTGTCTTCTCTTTTATCAAATGTGACAAATGTACAATACTAACATAAGATGATAGTAATAGCAGAAACTGGTTGTGGAATAAATTAGAATTCTCTATACTGTCTTTTCAATAATTCTGTAAACCTAAAAGTATATATATATATTAAAACTTTTGGTTTTATATCATTGTACATGTTTATAGGGTACAATTTCTTGTTTCAATACATACATACATATATTGTATAATGATCTAATCAGAATAATTAGCAAATCTATCACGTAAACATTTTTCATTTCTTTGTGGTTATAACCTTGAAATATACAGTACAATATTATTCGCTATTGTCACCCTAGTGCACCAGAACTTATTCTTCCTATCTAACTGTAATTTTGTAACTTTGCACCAGTCACCAACATTTCCCTGGCACCCCCCTTCCCACTCTCTTTCCTGCCTCTCGTAATCCCTATTCTACTGTCTCTTCTTTCTCTTTTTTAAAATTTATTTTCCTTAATCAACCCACGATAATTATATAGATTTATGGAGTAGAATACGATAATTGGGTACATTTTTACTGTGTGCAATGATCATATCACGGTGCTTAGTGCATCCCTCACTTCAAGCATTTTTCACTTCCTTGTTTTAGAAGCATTCAATATCGTCTTGACTAGTCATTCAAAGATACACTGTGCTTTGTGTCCCCCCTGCCTCCCTCCCCACCACTCTCTACTAACCACTAATCTACGATCTACTTCTATGAGACGAACTTTCTTAGCTTCCACATGATGATAAATATTTTGATTGAAAAGATCTTACTTTTCTTTGTTTCGATCCCTCGGTGCTGGGAAGGCTCATTCCCAGGTGGTCATGTCCCACGTCGGGGAGAAAGTATGAAACAGCAAGATGTATGTGCATTTAGGCCAAATTAGGGCAAAATGAAGAGGGGTCAGGAACTTAGAAGAGACATGCTATTTTATAACTTAAAGTTTTAAATTGCATCCTGTTATAAAGACAGAGTTAAATTTTATCAAAATTATGAAAATAGACACATTGTCATAATAATCATAAGGATACTTAAAATTATTAAATTTGGGGGATCAAACAGAGAGAAGACAAATGCTTTTATTTCTGTTTTAAATGATATTTTACCAAACTGTTGTCAGTTACAGATAATTTAGAGAGAGTTTTCTTAAATCCTGAAAACAAAAACATTAAGAGAACCATCAGTGTTTTAAAATAAGGAAATTGTAAAACCCATAATTCTTTTTAATCATTTCATTAATGAACTTTTGTTATTTTGAGCTTGGTGAGTAATTTTATAAACCGTTCCTCAATAGAATTTTGGAAATTCAGTTTAAAGGTATGAACCGAAAGTTTGTCAGGAAACTGTACCTATCAGAGATTTTCATGAAATATTTGAAGACATAAAATTTTTAAATTAAAATTGAACCAAGATTATGACAGGTAGCATTTATATCAAGACAGAGCATAAACCCATCAGTTTCCTCAATAGAATTTTGGAAATTCAGTTTAAAGGTATGAACCCAAAGTTTGTCAGGAAACTGTACTTATCAGAGATTTTCATGAAATATTTGAAGACATAAAATTTTTAAATTAAAATTGAACCAAGATTATGACAGGTAGCATTTATATCAAGACAGAGATTTTCAAGAACCTTACAAGATTTGGGAACACATATTCATAACATCTCAGTACTGACAATGCTTTCCCATATAGTCTAATTTATCAAATAGGCCAATTAGTTTTGATAGATTTCTTTTATATCTTTTGAGAAGCTCCAGGGTCCTTGGAACTCCTCAAAGTTAGTTTAAGTCAAAAGGCTGAGATTTTAGAATTTGGTTTTAGAAAGATTGTCAAATAACAAAGACTTAAAACACTTAGTAGAATAAGATCACAAATTACTACAAAAAATAAAACCAAAATGACAAAGGATTTCAAAGGGAGAGAGAACAAGAAATTATCATGATAAAACAAGAAATAAGTTTCTTAGACCAGTTATCTAAGAGATAAAGAAAACCTTTTACAATTTTGTATTAAGAGTTGTTAAGTGTTTTCAGGAAATCTGGTCATTCCATTGCAGGAGAGCAAACTCTAACCCCATGTCAGAATACTTTTGATATTAATGTTTAATTTTTAGAAAATTTATACATAGTTTGTATTTAATTTTAGCCAATTTTTAAAGTTTCTTTTACAAAGTAACCCATACAAACCATTATCACAACTTTCTCAGACTAACTGATTTTGTCCTATACTTCCTGCTTTCTCAATAACCAGTCATTTTACTCTAGGACAAGAATGCCTTGTACCAGATGCTTTCTCACATAAAAATCATTTTTTTTCTTTTTATCCTTTCTAACCTCAACCATATTTTTATATCCATAGCCTTTTAAAAATTACCTTTTTATTATATACTTGTTTTTTTTTTTTCTCTATCAATGTTAAATTGGCCGCATTTGTCTAAAAATTATATATAGAAAGGTTTTTCTGGTTTCAGCAGGGTGTACAACTGAAGAGACCGCTACCAAAGAAAATGTAATCGTGCTTGATTGGTAAACCCAGGCAGCGATTTGTGCTGATAAGAAAAATTTTACACATACAGGTTAGTAAATAGAGGCCCATTTTTCAGAGCAAATTATATAAAGCCCAGTTTGAGCCTCAGCCACTTTTACCAGTTAAAGATTTATAGTCTCCCAGCCAAAAATTTGGTGTATTTAATTTATACCCTTATCAGTTAATGTTAACTAGGGCCTTGGAGATATTGGGCATAGGTCTCCTTCCAATAGCCATCCTGTGTTCCAACGGTCCATGTGGCATTTAGGGCTATGTGGAATCCCGTGAGGCCGTGTGGAGCTCAAAGCAGAGGGCAACATTCACAAAAATAATGTCTAATAGATATTGTTTCTCCCAGCATGGCCAGGAGGGAGAGCTGAGATAAGGAAGAGGCAAATTGACCTGAAGACAAATTTAGACAAAAGGTTTATATCGAATTTTGAAGACTTATTTATTTTA